CAAGCCACAGGATCCAAGACTTGAATTGCATGGTCAGCCATGTGGGATTGGGCCACCTTAACTACCAGGCCAGATGCTACTTTTCAAGAACACTTCTCTCTTGAGATATAAACAACAATCAATAGCTTCACTGGCTGAGCAACTGGTACACACTGAGAAGGGAACGCAGTGATGGGAAAACCTAAACTTCTGATCTTTTCAAGGAATAACTGTGATCTCACTCCAAGTTCTAAAATCCAACCTTTAGAAGACACTATGGGTGAGCCCACATGACAGCAGCCATATGATGTCTGCACATCTTGGGGGTTAGATCAATAAGCAGTGCTTCTCCGCTTCGTTTTTTCCTGGTCAGGAACCGAAATGAAGTATTCACTTATGGGAAGAAACAAAGGACAGGTTCATGTCCCTCCGCCCTTCTCTCTAGCCTCAGCTTGAGGTGGACAGCTGTACATCCTCAGCTTTTCATCTACCTCTGGGGGGTTCTTCCATTGTACCCCACCTCTAGACAGGATTGTCCTAGATGTGATGAAAACGGGAGTTAGGTGTGAGCTGAGAAGACACACCAGCAGGCTGGCCTTGTGGGGCTCGGCTTTCCAGTCTATCTGCTTTATCATGGCCCAGTTCCCAATAGCCACTCAGAGTCCTCTATTTCATTTTTTTGGCAATAATTCTGCTTGTGTGTACATGCACACAAACACACAAGCATAAACACATACCTACATGCACACACACATGCATACATGCACACATCACACAAACATATGTATCCTGCACACAATGCACAGGCATATACTCATACATGTATGCACCCTATACACAAACACACACACACCACATATACATATATGCACATACACATATACTCATATACATGTATATATCCTATACTCAAACAGAAGTACATACCACACAGATACACATGTGTATACATGTAAGTACACACATACATACACATATAGAGAGGTGTATATACACTTTGGTTTTGCTTTTAAATTTCTGACTGGGCAAGGGAATTATAAACTAGACTAACTGCAAGTAGTCTTTACTTATGCACTGTGTATCAGACCACCAAATGGTGAGACTGCTATTAGCTTGGAGGTCTCCACAATCAGCCCTGGGGATACCTCCTAGGGGACTGGCAGGTGAAGTTACTCCACATCCACATTTTCTGTGTGTATCCATGTATATCCAGACATATGTGCATCTTAACACATGTGGGGTTGTGTGTGTCCCATACATGTGTGGGTGAGTATACTGGATACATGTGACTGTACATATGGGGAAACTGGTCCCCATTATCACCCATCAAACACCCCCTAGATTCAATTAGTCTCCAAAAGATCTACAGAGGCTTCTGGAGACTCCTCTGTGGTCTACACTTGCTCCTCCAGTCACCAGGGCCTATTCAGGACTCTGCCCAGAGGATATCACTGTGGGCATCGTCTTTGAGGCAGTCTACAGCTACTTTGAGGACTTGGCCTGAACTTTCTAATTAAAGGACAAACCCCTGACATGTACATACACACACATACAGACTTAAAGAAGCACAACCTTATCCTAAGTTGTGGGGAAACTGGAAAACTACAGGAAGGAACAGCATGGAGGCTGCCCAGAGGTTACAAGGTGCAGCGGGACATCACCACTAAGTTTGATTCATCAGCCCAGCTGTGCTGTCTGGGGTGGTGGCATTTAGGGACTGCCCAGGGTCGTAAGGCTACTCTCCCACCACATCTTCTGTTTGAAAAGGTCCCCCGTTTTTGAGAACATTCAAAGAAGTAAATATCTAGTTTGAAATGAATCTGAATCTTTAAGCTACATAAATAGTAATAAAGCCAAGGAGTTTGGGTTAAGACTCCTCCAGGCCACAGAGACTTCCACACCCACCCATACTTATACCAACTTAAAGCTGGAAGAGAAGTTCTCTCGGTGGCACTGCCCTTCAGTCACTCAATGTTTTTCCTTTGCCTGTATATAACACAGAGATGCTAAAGTTCGACTACGTATGTGCTCATCCCATCTAACACATCTTAGTAAGTTTCTGTGTGTCAGGCTCTGTGCTAGACACCCAAGCTATGGTCTTGAATAAAATCAACCAATATCTTTGCCCTCCTAGGCCTTCACGCCTAGTGGGAAAGACAGTGGTTAATGTGACAGCCACACAGACGAGGTAAAATATCATTGTGACTGTGGCAGTCCTTCCTGGCAGCAGGGCTGGCACAGTTTGGGGGGACTCTCACTCTGTGTGGCCAGCCATGGAGCCTGCTCAAGACTCCAGGGACTTAGTGGAACTATTCACCTACCGCATCAACACCGCATCAACACCAAATGATGTGGGCTAAGGCCACTATTCTGCTGTAAAAATACCAGATGTGAGATGTTTCAGATTAGAAATTACATTGCATTTCTGTTGAATTGATAATTTGTATCTCTTTGAGATTTTTCACAAACATGATAACCAATTTCACATGTATCTTAAACATTCTTCTTGATTACAAAGTGAAAAACAGCGCAGGGCCGTGTGTGGACAATGATAAAGCAGCTGGCTGATCATACGTATCTGTCAGGAGCTGTCCCAGCTGCACAAATTCCACTGTTACTGCAGAGACACCACGCTGATAAAGAAAAAAGAGCCTGGAAAATCAATGCGCCTGGAGCTGGAGCGGTTGCTAAACACACAGAAAACATCTCTATCCAACAGGCCAAGCGCTGCGAAAATTCCCAAGCCCTGCCCTGGGACAGCCAAGGAAAATTTAATCTCTCCAAATCCTCACCAGGGCACTCCATCCTGCAGCCCTGACAGCCACACTTATAATTAATTATACAATTTCGATGGGAATATCGACTAAACAAAGCTATAAATCATAGAAAAAGTCAATAGGCATGGACACATTCAATCATGTCCCGGCCAATGATTACTACTCTTAAAATACAATAATTATTTTCAGGAGCCAGCTTGAATTAAATTTCTGTCAGAAGGGTACAAGACCGGTGGTTGATGAAGGATGCGATGGATTTTGGGGGCTGAGTCCGGCAGAGGCACATCCATCCTGCGGATGGGTAGTTTGTTTTTAGTGGCCGTGGTGCTGCGTGTTTAACTAGACCATGAAGATGAGATTATCTCCGATGGCTCATTAGGCCATTTATCTTGTCTTCCGGGGTTGATGGGGATGACACCCTGATATCTGGGCACAACTGACATGGCAGTTGATTCTTTTATGTGCTTGTGTAACTTGGGTGGGTGCCTGGGCACATCCACATTAGTGAGAACTCACAAGACGCTTGTGAATGAGCCATTATCTCGGGTACCCACCAAATGGGCTCTGAACAGAGGATGTGTGATGATGGAGCTGATCGTGTCCATTCAAGTTTCACTCTCTGGAGAAACAGCGTGAAACAGCAGAGAAGGTGAAGAGTGCTCTGGGCTCCAGGCCTACAGTGGCAAACCCATCATTTTGCTGCACGAGATTCCGGATATGATATAACGAAGGTACGTGGGTCTGTGTAAAATCTTCACATGAAGCCTGCTTTCTAATTCAACCCAACTGTATTTTCATCTTAGAATCAAATCCAAAAGTTTTCCTGAATAGTCACACTCATTTTTTTTTTTTTTGGAGAGATTTTCGCTATAGGGTGCATGCACTCGCCAGACAGACAGAGAGAGACATAGAGACAGAAAGCGAAAAATCACCCCCCAGGGGGGATGGTCACGCCACAATCCCTTCTCCTCCATTCTCCTCTCGGGATCTTGGGCACGCACGCACACGCGCCCAGCGTGAGTTTTAAGTCACTGGGTCCGGGACGCAAACCACAGTCGACTACATGGGAGTCCAGCGACATAGCCATTACGCTAACTGCTGGTTCCCTCAAACTCATTTTTAAAAGAGATATCTTTTCTAAAAAGATCTGAAACAACATCCTATGGTGAAGAAACAGGTAGCAGGTAAAAACGATCACTTCCAACAGTAACAATACTTATTAATTTCAGTTGTTACAGTGTAGGTTGTAAGTGACCACAGTGGGAGCATTTACACCAATGGAACTGGCAATCAATCACCTAGGTTAGATGTTACATTTTATTAGTGTGCAGTTATTTGGGCATAAAAAGTATACAATAAATATTTGTATATATGTAAAAATGAGACAAAACTATACTGCAAGAAATGACAAAAATTAAAGAGTATGTATAGGACACCTCCAATGCTGGTGTCCTGCAGCCAGGAATGTGGTGTCGCCCAGCCAGTAATGCCTCGGACAGGAACACAGGTCTTCACTGATTTGGGCTGCATGTTCCCATTTGCATGCACTTTAACTTACACAGAGGTGCACATGTGCCCACACATCACACCCATGTACACACATGCACGTGTGTTCACAGTTATAAGCATATGCACATTTCCACACATCACACACTTATCCACTATGTACACACATGTATGTGTATTCACATTTATAAGCATGTGCACCTTTCCACATATACATGTACACACATATACTCAGACATATGCACAGTGATGCATGTACCCACACGAGCACTGATGTGCACAATCACATATACACACACACACGTATATGCCACTCACACAGCAAGGCCAACAACAGGGATGTGAATTCACGTACACTCGTCCTGTCACTGAATGTACACATGGGGCTTCTCCCCATTCAAAATGAAGTCCCAAGTCCTTGGCCAGCCCTGAGGGGGAAATTCTTCATATTGCCACCCCAAATCATCTAATAGCTTACCTTTCACATGTAAGGGTCTCAAATGCTAACAGGTAGAGTGAATGCCATGCTACCATGAACAGGGACAATGACATGAGTAGTCACAGCCCCCAGTCCAGGTAGCAGGACACACTGGACAACGTGCCCCCAGCAGAGTCAGTCTTGCACCCAGCCTCAAAAGCTGTCCCTAGGTGGTAGTGGCATTGAGGAAGGGCGGTTCTGGGTAGACAGCAAGGGACAATCCCAGAATAAATGGCCTCACATCCGACCATGAGACTCACCGCGGTGCCATTGTTGTCTCTGAAAACTTCCTGGTTGAAGTAGTCAAAGAGTTTCTTTTCTAACTGGAGCATAACCTGTGAAGTCAAGGCAGCCCGTAAGTGCCCAAGCTGGTGGAGCATGGCCCGCTCAGCACCTTCCAGCTCCCCTACAGCCTCTCGCATCCCACTGGTTCCACTGCCCCAAAGAAAGGCAGAACAACTCCAAAGGCATCTAGAATACCCTGTACTCCCCCAGATCAGGCCTGGCTGTGAGTGGCCTGCCACGTGTCATTATCCCACAGCTATGGGCATTCTTACCTTCCGGTCATTGTCTGACTCACGAAATATCAACTTCACGACCTCATTGGTGTCGGCAGCTCGGACTGTCTGCATCGTGGCTTTTGTGCAGAGTGTCTGCAGAAAGACATGGGAGGGATCAGTTCCAGGAGGTCTGCCTGCCTGACCACCCTGGCCAATGTCACCCTAATGCCCAACTCGGTGGTTTCCTGATCACTCCAACTAGATGAGATGCCTGTTTCTAGACAGCGGCCACCTGGGAGGGCAGCTCAGTGTTGCTTCACATCCAGGTTTTCACACCTTATTTTATGGAGTTCTTCCCTCAGTGGCTGTCCCTGGGCTGTTCCTCACAGAACACAGGAAGGCTGGAGGCTCCTCACTGTCCTTTCCACGCCTGAAGCCAGCCACCGGCCACTAATAAAGTACAGTTGTAAATGCTACGTGGATCACAAATACACCTCCACAGCAAGCAAAGCGAGATCAGCAACCACCAAGCCCAGAGCTGTGTTGAGAAAAGCTGGAGGGGTGGCATGGTGGTTGGGGACGCTGGACTCCCACATGGCTGACCGCAGTTCGAGTCCCGGACCTGGCGGCTTGCTTTCTCACTCTCTCTCTCACTCACTCTGTCTCTCCCTGGTCAAATTAAAATAATCAATTAATTAATTAAAATAATTCTTTAAAAAAAAAGAAAGAAAAGCTGGAGGGAACGTGCAGGGATCAGCCATGGACAGAGAGGCTTAATCTTTGTCACTTGCTTCTTTTGACCCCTTGAGCTTCCCCCATAAGCTGGTTCAGCTTCAAGACAGGAGACCACTAAGAATGGTATGAACGTGCTTGTTTTGGCTAAAACAGAGGTGGGAAAGGATGGGCAAAGTCGTGCCCCTGCCTTGCGGTGTTTCACCTGCACAGACAGTCCCTGTGAGGCAGGCTGAGGACAGCAGGGCCTCAGTGTGGACCATAACTGGGCAGCAAACCCAGAGCCTAGAGCTGCTATGGGCAGAAGCACAGGGAGAGAGGGATCTGGGAAGGTCCCGGCCGGGGCGGGCCTGGCCAATGTGGCATCTGGGGCCTCTACATACTCAGGTGGCCTGGTCAGCTAAAGAAAGAGAATGCCACCTGGGCAGTAGAAGAAAGCAAAAGCTGAGTGACCACTGACCTCCCACACCCCACCCCCTCACACTGCACGGCTGGGCTGCTAGACTGGCACTGTCCAGGCTAATACGGGCGGCCATCTGACTAACTGATATTTGGATTCAGACCTGTTTAGGCAATTTTCGTTTTAACCTTATTATGAGGCAGGACAAGGTCAATGGGAGCCACTCCCCAAAGGGAGGACAAAGCTGGAGACTGCTCCCAGGCAGATGGGCGTTTCTCCACCCTCCCTAGCAGAGGAAGCTTCAGGGTATAGCATGCTCTACAAGCTTGGCAGAAGTTGTGAAAGCTCAGGGATACTTAGGAGTATATTTAACAAAGAAAAGGCATGACCCATATCCTGAAAATGACAAACTACCTCAGAGCAAAGTTAGAATTTGGTGTAAATAATGAGACTCCCGTGTTCACAACATGAGCTCCTGAGAAAAGGTGCTACCGGTGGGGATGGAGAAGAATATGGCCACTTCCTTACACAAAGGTCATCAATTATAGATTCCATGCATACAAAATGCCCAGAAATGGCAAAGAGAGAGACAGAAGGCAGACCCAAAATCGTCTTAGGGCTGAAGAGAACTGTGTGTGTGTGTGTGTGTGTGTGTGATAGTCTATAGGTAGATTATAGTTTGTACGTAAACTAAACCTCGATAAAGCTGTTTTTGTTTACTTGTGTTTTCAAAATAGAATATATGACTTTTACTAAACTAAAACAAAACAAAAAACCCCACTGCTCTGGCCCACTGTGGTGGCACAGCAGTAACCCAATGCTCCAAGCTACTGAAGCCACACAGGAAGGTTGAGGTTTGCTTCTGAGGTCTCCCTAGGCACACACAAAAATGCCCCTGATCCTGTCTAGCTGAGGCTGTGGGTGCATCGTGGCATGAAGATCCTGCTGGGAGTGGGGTGGGCTGTGTCTGTGCCTGTCTTTCTCTCTTGTTCTCACATGGAATGCCCGTGATCCTGTCTAGCTGAGGCATGAAGATCCTGCTGGGAGTGGGGTGGGCTGTGTCTGTGCCTGTCTTTCTCTCTTGTTCTCACATGGAAGATGAATACATCAACTAAAACAAACAAAAACTGCCACTGCAACAAAAGCAATTTTGACTTTTTTAAAAAAATTATTTAATTTTATTTATTATTAGTTTTTAATTTGCTATAGGGCACATGCACTCATGAGCTAGAGACAGAGAGACAGAGAAAGAGAGAGAAAGTGTAATTCTGGGACTCGAACGGCAGTTGTCCATGTGGGAGTCCAGCACCTTAACTGCCATGCAACCTGCTGGCCCCAGTCATGTTGACTTTTAAAAATTTCTCCACAGGGCAAACCTAGTACCATAACAGTAACAAGATACTCAAGTGAAGCTGGATCCATATGGAAGGTCACACGTTTAGTTCTCTGGTCAACCTATACATGCAGGAACACACTCCCATGACCCTGCTGGCTGGGAAGGCTATCGGGGTGAGTACTGGAGTGTAAGATCGTGTGGAGGGTGCTTGTGCTTCTTTCTCTCTCATGAAAAGAAATAAATATATATTTTTTAAAAATCAGCTCTAAAGGAGCCCTTGGGAGCTAATGCTGCTGAGGAAGACGCGGTCTGGGACTTAGAGCAGGACTTGCAGAGTAGATTGGGACCCGGAGGAGGCACTGAGCTGGTGCTGGCCCCTCCCAAGGACTCTGATGTCTCCACTCATTCCAGGGAGAGGCTCCCAGAGTGCAGTGAGCAGGGACGCAGGGAGCAAATCCCTTGGCAGCCCAGCCTGTCCACCCCTCAGGATCACTGGGGACCAGGTAATGCACAGAGCAGGCTGTACCTGAGGGGTCCCAGCATGGGTGCCCAGGAGGCGGCTGCCTGCCATCCCCAAAGCACACTCTAGGGCAGAACATTGACATTCAGAGCACAGAGCAGCTAATCGGGTCAAGCCCCCCAAAGTGGCTTTTGGACTCATGTGTCACAAATCAGTCTGGCCGCCTTCAAAAAGTGCAAGGATTAGAACAAGCACCCAAACAAGCTGGAGCAGAGCAGGGGGCCATCCCTGCGCCCCAAGGAGGTCTCAGCCCCATCCAGATGCTAATGCGCTTAAGTGGCTTAAGCTGCTTTCCTGAAAGGGAGAAGGCGCGGGCTGGCCATTGTAGTTGCCCCAGGACGCGGTTCAGGAAATTCATGGCTCTGTCTCCTAAAGGCATCTGCTAAAAATTTCTAAAAAACCTGCTTTATCTCACCACTTCAGGCAGCTCCTAAAGGAGGAACATCTGACAGACCCCAGAGCCACTAAAGGGCGGGCGTCCCCAGGCTTCTCGGGCTGTTTCTCCCACACACCCTCCGACGGAGTCAGAGTCGCCTCATTCACAGGTCTTAAAGAAGTGATCGCTGGGCGGGAGGGTCGAGAGCGCTAGCCAAAGCCGGCCTCTTTCGCCCGCCTTTCAATCATGCGAAGTGCTCTTTTTTTTTCTTTCAATCCTGCAAAGTCGTGACCACTCATGCAGAAAACTGTCCCGGGCTGCGCCTTTCCGGCTTGCCTTCTTATGTAGCGGATCTTTCTCGTATAAAAGGAAGGGAAAAAGACTCCAAATGCTATTTTTAAAAGGCCATCTAAAATTTATTTCATTATTAGTAGCTGCACGAATGGGGCCCTATAGGAAGGGCAGTCCTGGCACATTGTCTTATTGGCACTTGGAATGCCTGGTTTTTCTCTTGGAATTTAACAGAACGGCTATGTGCTGAGGAAGTCCACCTGTTATGTGGATAACGAAATTCCTGAGTCTCTTCTTTGGATAATTAAAAGTATGCTGCCTGGACTGGGGCATGCACAGGCACAGGGTACCAGTGACAGCCCAGGAGAAGTGCTGTTTTCTGTACAATCACATCGTGCGGTTTTTACAGCCCATTTGATTTGCACAAAGCCACCGGTAATCAGATCCCCGATGTGCACATGTGCAGTTCGCCCGACTCATCCCAGGAAATAATTCTGCCCACCCTCCCCCCAAAACTGTCAAAAACAGGCTACCCCACAAAGTTCAAAACTCTATTAAAGGCAATTACAGACTCTTGGACCCTACTAGCTAGCACAGGTCTTGTAAATGCAATCTTTTAAAAAATGTTTTGAATAATTTTTAATTACTTGCGTGTATGTACATTGAAATAAAAGAAAAATATTGCTTGAGGCATGTCAATATTGAAAAATTAAGATTTTTAAATCAATGACAAGTATCCAAGTTATATAGTTCTTTCTTTAATTATACTTCCCTGATGTGTCTTTCCTTAACAGCCCCTTGCTTTGCAGAACTTGCTTATAAAATTCCCTGTAGCTATAGTCTATGCGCCACTGACATTATAGCAGATTGTACTGTGTTCACATAACATGTTTTTCTTTCATCCAATGTTCTTTACTGAGAAAACAACTCAATGCAGTATGAGCTGATATCCTCAACATTCCTTAACATGTACTGGCATAAAATGAACAATTCTGAGAACTGCTCTTCAAATTTGACTTGTTAAAGCACGTAATACCATACACAACCTCGAAGACCCTGCTTAAAAAGACAAAAAATGTTCTGGGGAACCAGCAGTTAGCGTAATGGCTATGTCGCTGGACTCCCATGTAGTCGACCGTGGTTCGTGTCCCAGACCCGGTGGCTTAGAACTCATGCTGAGCGCGTGTGCGTCCATGCCCAAGATACCGAGAGGAGAATGGAGGAGAAGGGATTGTGGCGTGACCATCCCCCCTGGGGGGTGATTTCTCGCTTTCTGTCTCTATGTCTCTCTCTGTCAGTCTGGTGAGTGCACACGCCCTATAGCGAAAACCTCTCTAAAAAAAAAAGACAAAAAATGTTTTGTGCTCATACAGGCAAATGAACACTATAACTCGTGGATATACGTAAGTTGTGAATATATGTGACAGCCATGAGCTCAGTCTCCAGCTTCAGAACAAAAACCAGGCTGACCCGCCGGTTCCTTCTGGGGGAACTTGTC